GCTCAGTGTTAGTACAAACGAGTGCGTCCAGAAAACTCGTAGATTATTCTCGAGTCGAATCAAAATTTGCACAAATTTAACAGTTCTCCAGTGCAAGCGAGCTCATTAAATTTTTCGATGAATGATATAAGTATAGTTACCTACAAGCATTTTTGTCGTCCAATTTAAAAGTTAAGTATTAATCACGCTTTTTGTTACAAAACGCCCGTTTGAAAAAATTCTTATCGTTGAGAAAAAAAAAAAAAAAAAAAAATAAATAAATAAATAAGTAAATAACCATTTCTACAATCTCGTCGTCCTCTTTACGTATAGTACAATCTAATCTTGGATATGATGTTCTTCCAAAGGTTGTTATCGATTTTCAGCGACTTTAACACTCGGAAAAAAAAAAAAAAGTACACTTATAGTCACTTTCTCGCGTCTTTTGATCGTTCACTCTTTGCACACTCTGTCCCTTTGGGCCGCTGAAGAAGCAGCCGCGCCCTTGAAATCTATTTCCAGCCGTACAGCCTCCCCTCGCGCGAGGGCACAAAAGATCAGCGCCCGTGCGGAAGCAAACTCCTGCAGCTAGAGTATTTTATCCATACGTGTATAGGTGGTGTATACGTATACAATATAACCCACCGCCTCCGGCTCTACTCCCACGCTTCGTGGGTTGTACCTATATATATATATATATATATATAGGTACAACCCACGAAGCGTGGGAGTAGAGCCGGAGGCGGTGGGTTATATTGTATACGTATACACCACCTATACACGTATGGATAAAATACTCTAGCTGCAGGAGTTTGCTTCCGCACGGGCGCTGATCTTNACGTGTATAGGTGGTGTATACGTATACAATATAACCCACCGCCTCCGGCTCTACTCCCACGCTTCGTGGGTTGTACCTATATATATATATATATATATATATATATATATACATTACATCGCCCTCCCTGCACTCTCTTGCTACTACCTATAGACTAGATATATTTTACGTGCAATGCGATCGAGAGCCCTGATGCCGTTGCATGGTATACCTGTACATCGAGCTCAGCTACGACCGAGCGTGCCCATATATGAGGGCCCACGTGTGGGCGTATCGCCCTCCCGAAGAGTATTAGGTACACGTGTGTGTATATGTATATACATCCGTGTAGGTATACCCCTTACGTGCATGAGTTCAACTTCTCCTTTGTGCTTCGTGATGCCCCATATATATATATATATATATATATATATATATATATGTTGACCAAAGCCTATTATTTGCCAATAGTTGATTTTTCTACATTACAGAGTTGTTGTTATATAAATTGTACGGATGAAAATCGAAGAGGTCACGCATATATCGGTACATGTATATCATACAACTGGAGAAACCTTTTATGCTCGCAGCTATACATGTGTATAAGCTTGCCAAGAAATTTCTCTCAAGTTCAAGATCCCCTACCCCCCCCCTCTTCCTTTGGCGCGACTCCACGATGTGTCATTCTTGGCTACGATGCCAACTTTAGGTTCAGTTGTTTGAACTAGGATCCTGCATAGTTCTCATCTCGAGCGTGAAAGAAAAAAAAAAAAAAAAAAAAAAGACCATCTTAAAAGGAAATTTTCTAATTCACATACCCATCATATTATTTCCCTATAGGTGGTGTGTGTAGGCAGTGTTTATTCCTAAACGATCGGTCTTACATCCAATGAGCGAATTTTTGGCGGCCAGCCAATCTTTTGGAAGTCCGTCTCTGCTTTCGTTTTTCTTCTCGTGTTTCTTGCGCCTCTTTAACTCTCCATGTATGCTCCGTTCAACGCACGACAGGCATTTACACTGATTAATGTTGTGTCAAGGATTTCAAGGGCTTTGTTTTAATTATTCGTTACTTCGGTGTACACAACTTTATTATCAATCCATTATATTTTACATCAGTACAAAGTATCTCGAAGCCACTGAGTAATTTGTGCATCCATCGATGTGTTTTAGCGTTGATTGGCAAAAAAATATTCCAGGATAATTATACACGAGACGTATGGGCTTCTCTTTAATGTGAACCTAATCAGACGCGGTATAGATATACCTATATGTAATAGGTACGTGCGGTTGGCAGAGTTTTCAGTACAGTTAAAATTATGTACGTCCAAGTTGTAAAAAGCCATGTGTATGGATGAAAAAAACAAGTCCGTACATCGAAGACCATCCAAAAGGTGCGCGTGCAATCGTGTATATGCTTTCTAATTGATTGGGCAACGACGTGCCGTGGAATATCCTTATCACTTTGGTAAGGTTTAAACAGAAATAGTATTTAGGACAATTGTTTCAATAGAATTTCGTGTTGAACGTTGTAATCACCATAAATTAATTATTGGACGAAATTTCGCACTTACACGATGAATTCCACCGAATATTACCGCACCACGCCGACACATTGTGGCGAGCTAAAACACCAAAGTGTCACGTAAAATACGCGTAAGACTAACGAAAAACGAAGTAGCCACGGCGAAAAAAATGGCCAAGTACCATTACATTGGGGACCGAATAAGTCCAGAGAGTAGGTATATAATCCTCAAACGAGTGGGCCGCGGGTCAAAACAAAAACAGACCTTGAACTTGGGTGGTGTTGTATAGGCATGAGTGAGTATAGGTACATTAGATTACGTCTTGGATGCTGCGAGAGCCGACCACCGACGTCTCGCCTAATATTATCTCGTGCACCAGCAAAACATCACGTATAACATAATGGAGCAACCTCGGCGACTCATCTTTTATTGACTCATGCGTGATGCGCGTCTCGCGTGCGAGCCAAATTCCTCCGTTATTCCTTATTATTGATTGCGTTACAAGCTTTGTACAAAGTCTCTCAGAGCTTTCCCACGTATATACATATACCAGTGATGCACGATTTCGCGTGTTCGTACCGTTGTAATTGATTATCATTGTTTCTTCATTGCCCGCACTAAACGCTATATTAATTGATTGTAGGTACTCTTACTCTTCGCTTGTTAAACACCATTTTTTCCCCTAACATCGTGGTGGATGAACGGTAAAAATTTTTTTCCAACGCACCCGATTGAATTTTATTTTGCCGTTCGTGCGCGTTTACGAGCGATGGCTGGAAAAAGTCCGTACACGCTTATCGGTCGATTGTCGTATCTCGGCGTATTGCCGGGTGTATTCGTATACCAAAGTCGCTACCACTAATATACGCACCCACTCGTCGGGCAAACAAAACCCTTAACAGCAACTTTGCCGATTCTTTTTTTTTTCCCAACATTACTTTTTTAATGATACTCACAATTAAAAGCAAAACAATGCAGTGTCATGTATACGTTAACTGTACATTATCGACGAAAGAGCAACAAATGTTTGAGATGAAAAAAAAAAAAAAAAAACTTTATTTCTACAATCGTAGGTACAACAACTGGATCGTTGTTTCCACCCGCTCATATGGAGTGCCACATCAAGAACCGAACCGAGGCTTGGTAGAAAAAAAAAAAAAACTCTGATAGTATTAGAATCATTTGTACAATTCACCCCTTGTAAACGTAAAACCATCGACAGCTGGTAGTTATAGGTATCTCATGTATGGTTTCGTTCCTTCAAAACTGCCTTCTGTGGATCAAGATCGGCAAAACGGGCTCTGTTCGAAAATGATGGGTTGGTTAAGTTTTTGGTTAGTACCTACCCCCACCCCGACTTAACCAACTGACCGTGTGTTCGCACATGTAAACAATAGTTAATCAGCTGATCACGTTTTGGCGCACTTTGAGCGCTTTCAAGTCCTCTCTTTAACCACAAAAGCGCTCAAAACATGATCAGCTGATTAACTATTGTTTACATGTGCGAACACACGGTCGGTTAGTTAAGTCGGGGTGGGAGTAGGTACCAACTTAATACTTGACCAACCCATCATTTCCGAACAGAGCCACGGTAGTAAGAAAATCTTACCGATCTTGCTTCACCCGAAATCCGCAAAAACCGCACCAAAATCGCGATCGTCGGATTGAAATTTTTATAAAAAACAAAAAATTCGCGACAGAGCGCTCCATTGCGTTTCTTGATAAGGCGCAACAGCAACACAGCCACATCAGCCGGCTGCCCGTTATCGCGTAGCGCAACAGATATGGAAAAGTTGTAAGTAGCTCGAGAGCCATGTACATATACGCGCCGAGAGCCGTTCTCTTTTCTTTTCTCTCATTCAGCTCGTCGCGCATACCTATATAAGCACATGCGAGTCGTAAACGTAGGTATATATAAGGCTCGCGCGGTGTGTTTGGACGAATATCTCTACTAATATAGCCGGCAGTGAGATATCGAGAGAGAGAGAGAGAAATAAAGAAAGACCGGCATGCAAGAGAGAGAGAGAGAGAGAGCCGGGAGAGCTCGATCGACCAATGGGAGCCCGAGCTCCATTTTATGCCCATATTTGGTAAGCTGCTCGGGTGCGATCGTATACAGTGGGGTACCTCTCGTGTACATATATATAATATACACACATCTTGCCAACCTACCGACCTACCATATACCTATACTTTTGTACTCCATGACAATTATATACATGAATATTATGTCTCGGCACCGTCTCTAGTTAAAAATATGTAATGGTATTGGTATTGGCTCCTGCAGTAGCCCCCATTATATACTCGACTGCAGGGTGCGATCGATCGGGGGAGGCCTCGACAGCCTAGGGGAAAAAATCGGTATCCCTGCGCAGGTTGTACGGAGAAGAGCTCTAGGTGCACGTACACGACAGAAAAGGACGGCACACGCGCGCCAGACCCACCTACATCCGGACGAGTCCAAGCGCACGCCGGCTATTGGAGCGTATATACATACACAAGTGCACACACATACCGATATTATAATATATACATTATCCCTCGCTCAAACACACACACACACACACGCGCGTGTTCTCTCTCCTTCTCCATCCTCCATATGGCTATCATCCTCTCTGTTTCGAAGAGCCGGCGAGAGAGAGAGAGAGAGAGAGAGCAGCGGAGAGCGCGAGCGCGAAGCCGAGCCTCGTCAGTGGTGCCCCTGTACAGAGCCTCTTCACGCTGCGCCAGCAAAGTCTGTCCGCTGCCGCCGTTCACCAATAAACTTCCTGCCCTGCCGCTGCTTGTACTCTCGCTCGAGGAACCGCATCACCGTCTCCGGCTGTCTGTTAATTGTTATCGATATCGCGTAGTAGTTTCACCAAGGTGAGTCCCACAAACTCCATAATTATAATCCCTCTCTGTCTTACGTTTATCGGGGATGTAAAGGTGGAGGTGGGGGGGGGGGAAGGGAAGGGAGGAAATCGGCGTGTGTACACTCCAGGATGTGTAGATAAAAACGGGATGATACACAATACATGCATGCTTGTCTAGGAGGTGGGCTGGTGTAGGGATGCCGATAGGCGTGTGTGGCATGGCTGAGCTGACCTTGAAAGTGTGTGTGTGTGTGTGGCTACTACTGGCGACGTGGCAGGCGGCGAGCGCGTTCTCTTCGGGGGGGCCCTGATTCCCCAAAAATTCTTGTACCGCTTGCTCGCTCGCAACCATGCATGTTAATAATATATTACGTTTATGGTGTTACCCATTTTACATACCGCGAGATATATGAAGAAAGAACGACACAGAGAGAGAGCCAGAGTGGCAGAGAGAGAGAGAGAACGGCTCTCTCGTCGCCATCATGGCAGGGCGTTGCTCCTTGTGCCGCCTGTATGCTTGCACGCGCTTCGTCCGACTTTATTTTTTATCCTCCCTGCTTGTTATTTATTTTTTTTTACCAATTAACATAATTAACGGTGTTCTACTTGTCTCGACTCCGAAATTCTATTGGGTCATCGGTGTCGGGGTCCGGGTGTTGTTTTCATAGGGGGGGGGGGTTATTGGGCGAGATAAGCGCACCCATGACACATTGTGAGATATCGTTTCGCGAACGGTGAGTAAGAAAAAAAAAAAACGAGATGACTTTGCTCCGTTTTCTCTTTTTCTTGCAATATTGAGGCATGTTCTTTATATTATATAAGCGGCGAAGAATCGGCAACGTTATCTCCGCTATCGCTCGGATTCATCGTCGCTTACGATGGGGGAGGGAATTTTTTTTTTTTTTTTTTCCTTCAGAGATAAGAGAGCCGAGAAAGGGTTGAGAGGACGAAACGATAAGCCGGCTCATCCCAATGGTATTCGCGATGATGTTACGTGTTGCGGTAACGTTTGTCTGTACCCCCCCCCCGAACGACGTGAGTCATCACACGAGCGATTGGCAATGAGTTATGTATACTTATACACCGATTCGCAATGAGAGTCATCGATATTATTTTATGGGTGTACGACATGCCTCGGTGTGTGTATGTGAGTATTTGTCATACATCGATTCCACTTTGATCGCTAGCAAGAGCGGGAAATCGGTGGGACTTTGAATTCTTGTCGTTTCCACCCGAAAATCTAATTCAAGGTGGTGTGGAGACAGGTTGCTGTCGTTGTTATTCGCTCTCTCTCTCTCTCTCTTTTTCTCCGAGCTTCGTAGAATCAGGTGGTTTTTCGTAATGACCCGCGGAGCCTCATCTCTCTCGTTTTGCAGGTGGTTGGTTCGCCTCATCGTCGTCATTGTATACAATACATCGCCGAGAGCTTCTATTATTAGACTCTGCGCTGTGCGCGCGATAAATGTGCCTCTTCTCTCTTTCCTTTTCTTCGGCCGTCTCTTATTTTTGCCTCAACGTATAAGGTATAATATAGGTGCACACACACACACACATGTATATATATATATGGCGCTCCGGAGGAACAGATCGGCTTGCCCAGATTGCGCGTATACGTGTATATTTGTATACATGCATGGCTCTATTCTCTTTGCTCCTCTTCTTTCCTTCCGTTCGCGGATGCATACACGTTGCTTCTTTGTATACGTGTATACACATTTCGACGCGCGCGTCTGTGATATATGGGCACGACAGTGTCTGTATTGTATAGGTATGCATGTAAACTCTATTAACCGGCTAGTACGTATATATATACACATCCTCATGGGAAATGAGGCTTTCCGCTCGTGTATAGGGTAAAGACCTCGACTGCGCTTCCACGTCACGAATGAGCTCGAGGAACAATTATCCAAATGGCCGAGAGTTGCCCCGAAATTTGTCTCGTTTTTTTTTACCATCCTCTGGACGGTAATCAACACACGTGATGATCCTTGTCGGTGACGTTTAGCTGGAATAATTGTTGAATATTGTATCAAACGGCAAAGCCATGGGATGGGTATACTTAATTTGTAACATTCCAAATAGATAATACGTAGCTACCTATATGATACGAAAAGAGCTCGAGGCTGCGGTGTATGTGTTGATGTAGTCAGCCAAGGTAGATACTGGAAGACACCTGCAGTAACATTAGACATGCTCGAGGAAGTTTTTAAAAAATATCGGAGCACACCTGCGTGTATTGTTTTGCGAGGCGAGGGCGAGGAGGGAAAAAAAAAAACACATTCCACCCCGGCTTTTGCGGTGAAACTAAAACCCTTTACCGTGTCTATACTGTATCGTACACACGGGGTTGCCGTTCAGTTGTAGGTTTCGTGGCACACGCTTCGTCGAGCATTGAAAAAACAAAAAAACAAAAAAGGTTTTCGTGTTATTTGGGGTGAAAATTAATTTCTCGAGTTTCGAGAGGGACGCACCAATTAAAGAAATTAAAGAGCAAAGGAGGAGAAAAAAGATTGGCCAAACAGGGCCATCGCGGTTCGATGGAATGCGCTCGAAGAAAAGCCGCCCGGGCATTCATTCAACCTTTTCTCGGCTCGGCAAATGAGAAAGGGAAAATAAGAAAGCAAGGAGACAATGGAAGGCTGTCTTTCACAGTAATGAAACGGTATACAGCCAGGAAAAGTTTAATTGAAAGCGACTCGGAGCACTTTTTTTTTTTTTTTTTTACTATTTTACCGGTGTACGTGATTTCGCGTGACTCTGGAAATACACATGTGTTACTTTCCACACCCTAAAACGCATTGGGATTGTTACCCACATTTTTCAAAGTGATAAAACCTCTGCTGTTCTACTGCCAGTTATCGTTGCCTTAGAGGACCAATTGATCGCAAATTACGTAAACGTCGATCAGCGCGTTTGAGAAAAACGCCTTTTAAATTGAAACGAAGAAATCGAGCAAGCCAAATTTCGTCGATTGATCAGTATCTTGCATGTATCGATTTGAAGAATATTAAATTGTTTCACGGGGTACATATTTTTTAGTCTTTCCACATTTGAGATACGAGACTTTTTACCGCCTCGGAGTTATTTTAAACTCTTATCTCTTGAAAGCATGTGAGGAACCTCGTTACTCGTGATAACCTGCTTCGAGTGGTATTAATTGATTTATCCGTCCTATATACTAACTAAACGTATCTACGATTTTTCGCTTCGAAACGTGTGTGCAGGCGCACAACGAGTGTTGTGTTAAAAAATTTACAACAACAGCGATGAAGCATCAATATTGTAACGCCTATTGTTTTAACAAATGTTAATTGATCACTCGAGGCACGAGGCACAAAGTAATCGTAAACAAATGATCGATTAGAACGCTTACTAACAACGTTGTCTTGCTCATTAATATTTATTTCACAATAATATTTTGATTCTCAACATGGGACAGTAGTTGTTGTACTTTGAGAAAAAATAACATGTAAGAAAAACCTATACTTACGAAAAAGAGACACTCACCTTATCCGCGTGATCGAGAAGTAGATTGATAGTAATTTTTACGATCGATGCCAAACGTATCGTTATAAATATCTATAAAACTGTATCGGAACGAAAAAAGAAAAAAAAAAAAAATGAGAATTAGTCACACATGACACATTTGTTTTACGTTAAAGGCAAACAGCTGATAACAATTACGTTTCACATTCCTGTTGGGATGAAAATGCAAATGAAAGTGCCGTTCTCAGCGAGAGCCTTGACTCTCTCTCTCTATGCTGTATAAATATCCTCCCTGAAACAATAAATTATTGACGTATCGCGAGAATTTCTTCTTATCTCGCACAAATACACGGAGGCCTCTCTTATCTGCGTTAAAATTTCACGTCAGTCGCATGACTGCTGGATAAAAGTTTCGCCACGAAGCCACTTACTTCGAAGCAATTTTCTCTCTCTCTCTCTCTCGATTTTTTTGAAAAATGACCCCTACCTGTTGCCAATGATTTTGTACCGAGGTACTCGCGACGAGTCCCAAAAATTGTTATTTTTATAATGTTCCCATTTTGTCGAACGGATGAAGCAAACGTATTGACAGCTGACTCGGTTTCACTTGAACAATTACGCATTTGAAAATTCTCGCAAGCGCTGACTAATATTCAAAGATATGAGAGACAAAACAAATTTACGACGATGCTCGAGAGAAGAATCGCGAATGTAACTTTTTAAACCGTAACATATCAATTACAAGTTACACAGCAGACGAAAATCTGATGACGTGTTCGTGGCTACGAGGCAATACTATACTATTTTGATTTGTTATTATAGTACAATTTATACGTAACATAGATTTTTTCGCTGAATATTATTTTTTGCTGAAAATTGAATGCATTACTTATATCAAAAGCAATAACGACGCATTTTTTACTTCAGATACGTAACAATAATTTTCTACCATCGCACTTATTTGGTATAAAAAATTATTTCTCAGTATTTTATTATAAATTAAGATTTTTAAAAATGTACTCGAACAAAAACGATGCACCTTATTCTGGAAAAAAGTATTTTTTAAAAGTGTTCAGAAATCCATACAATAATTGTGCTCCAGCCTGCATAAGAGTACATTATTAATTAAAAAAAAAAAAAAAAAAAAAAAAACCAGTGTTTTAAGACAATACTTACTTCACTGCTGTTAAGTTTGTATTTTTTCAATTCAATTGTACTGAAAATATTTGTTTGAAATAAAATTGAACACAAATTAAATCCAAAGGATCTAGCTTGCGAAAAATGAAACGAGTTCTGTTAACGCATTTGATTTAAAAATCAATATAAATAATTGAAAAGGATTTATAAAAGTACATTAAAATTTGTTTAAAATATAAGTATACCGAAACATTATCGCGTACATGAAACTACTTGGAAATATTTTATGCTTTCATAATCACGAGACAACGAAAGAAAAGTAGGCATAACTCATCGATAAGAGAAACGAATAGTGATAAAATAGTTTTGAAATCCATTGAGAAATACCTCGTTAAAATTTGGTTCGTCGCACACAGTGTTGCAACGAAATAACTCGAACGTCGTACAACGCGGGAATATACCTATGTACATATTCTATTCGACAAACCGTTCGTAAAAACTTGATTCAATACTTGAGTACTTTTTACTTAAAATTTTGATTTGCGTGTACTTATGATCTAAAGAAAAATACCTTATGATATTGTATGGTATGTACATCATAATCAACGAGTCCATCAAATACGCCGAAATAACTCTAGTCACGTTGGGTGAAAGGCGCGTTTTTTTCCACGTAAAGTTGAATTATCGTACCCACATAAGTACACACAGCGTATTACGGAAGAATCATCACTCTCTCGTGATGCATGCATGCATGAATATGCGACGGGCGGGCGGGGGGGGGGGGCATAGTGAGTCTGGCTTCCCCTCCCGGGCCGGCTCGGCGGCACACAGCTCTACTGCGAGAACACTTCCATATATGGTGAAGAGTGCCGGGATTGGTCGAGAGTGTCCTATCCTTATTGGCGCATAGCTGCTTGGCTTCGGAGAGGGGGGAGAGACCCTCTCCTCCTTGCGGGAGAGTATAACACCAAGCCGCCCGGCAGCCATCCAGCATTCTCGTGCCGTTCGTCGCCGGTGCTTGTGTACTCTCTCTGCAGATAAGCAGCAATCAGCAATACCAGTTGTTCAACAGTGCCCGTTCGTGCGTCTGTATAATCTGTTATCTGCGTGCCTGCAGTTCTCACGAGTTTTTTTTATTCCGTTCTTAAAGAGTAAGTTTTCTCCCAACGAGTTTTTTTTTTTTTCACCATTTTCTTCCTTCGTTTTTCCGGAAGCGATCGTCAAGTGATTTGCCTCGGCAATGTGTGTGTGGAAAGTCATCTTGTGTCCTTCTCGATTTTCATTTGATCGACAAGGAAAAAAAGAGCAGTTTTTGTCCAGTGTTTAGCATATTCTCGCATACACAGGCATCGTTCAATGCCCAAAGGAGCTGTGGTGTTACCCCTTGGGAGTGCGCGTTTGTGCAAAATGGCTGTGGGGGCGAAGGATATCATGTCCAAAACCCCGTTTCGGTCATGGCAGTGTAGACCTCGTGTTTTTTTTTTTTTTTTTTTTTTTTTTTTCCTTAAAAAAACTGTAGCGTCCTTGCTTTTTTTCATGTTGTCGGCACATACCAGTGATATGAGAAACGACCAAGTTTTGAATTCGAACATGGCAGGACACGAGAGACGCCGGCGTTTCTCGCTCTGCGGCGCACCTCGCGAGTCAAGCGAGCTTCCATTTTCTGTACGACCGCCTGCAGGCTGCTGCTTCCTCGTGCGTGTTGCACGGCTTTTTCTCGAAAAAAACAAGTAAATGCGAGGTTCGCCCGGAATTAGTAATTCTGTGTTCAATTTTAACGTCACGGTGACTCGTCAAGTATTTCTCCAACTCCTTTTTTGATAACGAGATTTCATCGCGAGTTTTATAAGCCGTTTAACACGAGTTTGCGGTTTCATTGATTTTCATTTGTGTCGAAAAAGCCAAATATCACGGCAATAATTGCGCTTTCGCTGGAACTCTTTGCAAAAATTCCAAGAAATTAAACTACTCCCGACACAATCGTTTGGCAAATTTTTCTTACACTGCCATGCCAACGAAATCAAATAAAAATATGCGAGAACAAGCCTCTCCAGGGGGTCTGCTGCAGCCAACGCACCGCTCCTTTGTCGCTAGACTTCCGGGCGTGAAAAACCCTGGCACCGACATAGTAATAATACGACGTAGGCAAAAAGAGAAGTAGATATGAGGGCGCGCGCGCGCAAGCAAGCCGGCTATATCGACCGTTGGACGCCGGGGCTGGGCGGGGCAGGGTGCGGTTGGCTCGTGTACATATAGATATACAATTGCGTACTAAAACTCGCTCTCCTCGCTCCCGCTGTCGGTATAATATATAAGTAATACAAAAATTGGTAATATCATCGCATAGTACACGGTGAAAGGGACGCGTCTAGAAACTTCCATCTCTTCTGGTAATGCTGTTAAATTTTTCTCTGCTCTTCTTCTTTGCCTTCGTTCCGACTTTCGAAATTCGCACAATTCATTGCAGAATTTGTAGAACGGCTACGTAGTCGGTGGTTGCCGCGAGCTATAAAGTGTCGGTTAGCCATTTTGTTTAGATGTGTCGGTCAAGTCAATTCAATTCAATCTTCTCTTACGGCTGTGAATAAATACTTAGAGAAACAAATCACTTCCGAAGGGTTTACCAGTTTACCTAAGTCATGTCTGTATATGTAAAATAATGAAATTATATGTGATATACACATATGTAGAGACGTATTTAAAGTATTACATTGCCAAGAAAAATTGTTCGGCGTTGTAAACCTATTGAATCATCGATATTTTTATCTTAATACTCGTACATTCTTTATATATTTTGTTAACGAGTTGTTGGCAGAGTATAAAATATTTAATAGAATTCTTATCAGCCTCTTGAGTTATCAAGTAATGTATGACTCATCTGCAATATTTTCAAGTAATTTTTTTGTTACCGTACGACTAAATGATACGTTTGATGATACTCACTTCCGCTTGCACAGTTAGTCATTATAAAATTTCGATAACATAATGATTATTTTTTTGACAAATACTGTCAAGAGCGTTGCATATACCATGTCTTGAATCATTGTAGCAAATAACAATCAATTTTCTAATACAAAATTTCAATTAATAATTGGTTATAGTACTTGCATCTAAAAAAAAAAAAAACTTTCTGTTACAGCTTAAAAACACAAAAGCACAATGTGCGACGAAGAAGTTGCTGCGCTCGTAGTTGACAATGGCTCCGGCATGTGCAAAGCTGGTTTCGCCGGTGACGACGCACCACGTGCCGTCTTCCCTTCGATCGTCGGAAGGCCACGTCACCAGGGTGTTATGGTCGGTATGGGCCAAAAGGACTCGTATGTTGGTGACGAAGCTCAGTCCAAGCGTGGCATCCTCACGCTGAAGTACCCGATCGAGCACGGTATCGTCACCAACTGGGATGACATGGAAAAAATCTGGCATCACACATTCTACAATGAACTCCGAGTTGCTCCCGAAGAGCACCCAGTCCTCCTGACCGAGGCTCCTCTCAACCCCAAGGCCAATCGCGAGAAGATGACGCAAATCATGTTCGAGACGTTCAACACGCCCGCCATGTACGTAGCCATCCAGGCAGTTCTCTCGCTGTACGCCTCCGGTCGTACCACCGGTATCGTACTCGACAGCGGTGACGGCGTTTCCCACACCGTGCCCATCTACGAGGGTTATGCCCTGCCCCACGCTATCCTGCGTCTCGATCTTGCCGGCCGTGATCTCACCGATTACCTCATGAAGATTCTTACCGAGCGTGGTTACTCCTTCACGACGACCGCCGAGCGTGAAATCGTTCGTGACATCAAAGAAAAGCTTTGCTACGTCGCCCTCGATTTCGAACAAGAAATGGCCACCGCTGCCAGCTCGTCGAGCCTCGAGAAGAGCTACGAACTTCCCGACGGTCAGGTCATCACCATCGGCAACGAGCGTTTCCGTTGTCCCGAGGCCCTCTTCCAGCCTTCGTTCCTGGGTATGGAAGCCTGCGGAATTCACGAGACCACTTACAACTCGATCATGAAGTGCGACGTCGATATCCGTAAGGACTTATACGCCAACACTGTACTCTCGGGAGGTACCACCATGTATCCAGGTATCGCTGACAGGATGCAAAAGGAGATCACAGCCTTAGCGCCCTCGACCATGAAGATCAAGATCATCGCGCCCCCAGAAAGGAAGTACTCTGTCTGGATCGGTGGCTCGATCCTCGCCTCTCTCTCCACCTTCCAACAGATGTGGATCTCCAAGCAGGAGTACGACGAGTCGGGCCCATCAATCGTCCACAGGAAATGCTTCTAAGCTGCCGCTGACGATGTTGCTGACGACTGCTCCAACTCCAGCAACGACGCCACCAAATCAACAACATACCCCGCGGCCGGCTAGTCTTGTCTTAAGAAATACGAGAAAATACAAATTAATGATTTATCATTTTTTTATTGCTGATTCGTACGTCGAGTGCGATATTAAGGAATGCGTATTAAATAAACAACCGGCTCACAAGCCATTATTTTTGCATTCGTCGTCGTTTTTTATGCGATACTTGCATCATATGATATATATAAATATATATATATATTTAGTCTCATCTCCATTCCTTCGTGCGATGGCAAAACTGGCCTCTAGTAAGATAGGAAAAAAAAAAGTAAAAATTATAAAAAGCCCTTGGCTCGTGTACCACAAAAGCATACACTTAAAGGAGGACAAGTGTTGAATTAAATGAACCTTGGAGAAAGTATACATGCATATGAGAAGACTTCGTCCCGCTGTTTGATAAAAGAAAAACTCGCTTACACAAAGATAATACCATGATTAAAATAATTTGCTATAAATATTTTGACAAGTACTATTATTATTATTATAAACAATTCAAAAAAAATTTCCATGTAAAAACGATTTATTCCTGTATATACATCTTTTTAGTTGGTCATCGATTGAAATACATTTATTTAGTTTGAATCATCGATTGAAAAACAGTTGTAACCAAGTATTTATTGGAATAATTTAATTTTAAAGTTAAAATGCTTGTGAATTTTTCGTGACGATAATTTTTAAATATGAGTTATCAAATTTTTCTAATAAATTACAATGATTATGTGCATATAAAATTTAATACTTGTATCGAATTTTATATGTATATAAGATTTTTTTATATCAACATAAAAAATGTGTTTTTGTTCTGAACACTTCATTTCACGATTAACTTACATATTGCAGTTTCAAGATAGCAACTTAGAGAATAAGTTTAATGTAATGATGTTTCATGCAGTCTAGTATATCAGAAAATGCCAAAATTTTTGAAATATTGTAATAAAATAAAATAATGTGGGTAAGTAAAAGTTTCAGTATTACAAAATTTTGTAGTTCTTTATTTTTTACTCTTCACGTCAGGACTAAATTTTTCAACTCCTAATGAAATAATATTTTGAGCTTCGTTTTCTTTTATGTTCCTTGGTTTCTTAGTTTTTCCTTATTTGTTACTATTAAGAAATCTGAATACTTATTCTTTAATTCGTGTAACCCGCGGGTGATGTTTATTTTCATCGATATTTGATGTGAAAAAAGGTGGTAATGTAGGATACACAATTGCCATACAATGGTTATCTGGTTAAACAAATCTATTTTACCAACAGCTGTAAATGTTTGCGCTCAACAGTTGCGAGAAATCAAAATGATTTCCAAATGAAGTACTTATTTATATAACTGCATTTTGTTAATCAAAGTTTATCATCTTAAGTATTCACACAACATTGAACTTAAGATAGAAAACCTATAAATAAGTGTAATAGAACTAGATTCATATTTTCGAAAAACAAGTTTATTATGATCAGTTTGTTACAAAAAGTAGTTTCTGGTTCAAGTCATTAGTTAATATTTACAAAAAAAAGTTGAGGTTTTGAATACCCTAAGAGAAAGTTGTTTTGTGTAAAATCAATGCGAATATTTGTATTTTACAACACATTAGGTAGTAATATGATTTTTAACTCTAATAGAAAATAAATCGTTGCTAAAATAGTTTTTAATTCATGTACATTCTTAATTTACAATACTTAATATAAATATATTACAGATTTTAACATACACCCACAGATTTGTACGTCATACACGCGTTTAATCACGAAAATCATCATCCAGATCTTCATCTTTACTTTGTTCATGCAAAACAACGTACTCCCTAGAACTAAATCCAAACTTAATAACATCACGCTCCATAAGTTCATGATATCTTTTAGGTTCCAATTTCACATTGTTAACATAAGTTCCATTAGCAGACTCCAAGTCAATCAGGTAAGGTCTAATGCGTTTACCTTCTGATCCATTTTCTCTCTTGAAAGTCACTAAACGATACTGCAATGCTGCATGCTGCTTGGAACAAGAAGGATGATCAATTGGAAGATCTGCAATTTTCCGATCCCTACCAATCAAATAAGCAGACTGTCTGTGAATGTAGAGTACTGGTAGAGCTTCTTCTCCCTTGAATGGATACAAACGCCACCTGCGCTTTGGTTTACGAGCTTCCTGTGGCTCTGAGTACTTTATCACAATTCCGTTAACGGTATTAGTATCTTCCGTTAATTTGCCAGAAGTCTGAAAATTTGGCTTGTCTTTTTCTATTTTAGCCTTGCCCTCTTTTTTGACCCTGGCTTTTCCCCATTCTGGTGATGGTTCGTTGTCTCCTTTTTTTAGGAATGGCTGAAACATAATAGATATTCATCTACTACAACAAAAAGAGTTTCTATTGTTCTAAAGTTCATAAATATATTTATGGAATACACTGAAATCTAATAATATCACAGATTAATCTTAACGCTCTATTTAAGTAACAAAATATCCGTTGAGAGGAGTCATTCGTGAGAAACCAAGGATTAATCTTTATGCTACTATCTCAATCCTCTTAAGAGTTTTTGAGCAAGGAAATCTCATAATGTGCACAAGGGCGATCGGTAACACTAACCTGTTCGAAGCGTGACCTTTTGTCGTTCTTGTCCCTTCGTCTGGACACAAGAGCATCATCGTCGTGCTGATGACGTCTGTGTCTTTTATCTTCGTCCTCGCGATCCTTGGGCCTCTTGTTCTCGACATTTCGCTGCTGGCTGCGTTTCTCGTCCCACCTGCTGCTGCTACCAGCACTTCCTCTTTCTCCACTTCCTCGATGATGGTCCTCGGTGTCGCTGTGTTTACGCTTGCGTTCGATCTTGTGGTGCTCCGGAGAGCGACGGTCGTGACGAGATCGAGACATCTTTTGACGCAACGGAAGGGTGGTGTTATAACCTTTATTTTCTTATGGAATGAACACTTTTCTCTATAACCTTTCTAAGAGCAGTCAACAAAGTCACTATGCTATACTGATGCATCAACTGAAGAAGGTGCGATGATTAATGTGACAGAGTCTTGCACAAATAACTAGTAAGTAGTTGAGTACATGAGGTAAGATACGAACTACAGTGGTCCAGTGAAAATTTAGAAACAAAATATGAGTTCACCTTTAAGTTTATCAGTAGCAAACGTTCTGAAGAAAAAAAAGCAGTTCGTTTATAAAAATATGCTTCACAATTTCCTAACACTAAACACTGTAGGTACCAGTATAACTCTAAAGCCTCTGGGTCCTTGAACCCTGGCCTACGCAACCATACAACGACACTACCTGCTTGCAACTTGCAGGTTGCAATTACAACGTTACTAGACTGCAACCGTGCAACCACATACACTATGGCTACTACGAAAGTCCACCTATATATATGTATATATATATATATATATATATATGCGTATTAAATAAACAACCGGCTCACAAGCCATTATTTTTGCATTCGTCGTCGTTTTTTATGCGATACTTGCATCATATGATATATATAAATATATATATATATTTAGTCTCATCTCCATTCCTTCGTGCGATGGCAAAACTGGCCTCTAGTAAGATAGGAAAAAAAAAAGTAAAAATTATAAAAAGCCCTTGGCTCGTGTACCACAAAAGCATACACTTAAAGGAGGACAAGTGTTGAATTAAATGAACCTTGGAGAAAGTATACATGCATATGAGAAGACTTCGTCCCGCTGTTTGATAAAAGAAAAACTCGCTTACACAAAGATAATACCATGATTAAAATAATTTGCTATAAATATTTTGACAAGTACTATTATTATTATTATAAACAATTCAAAAAAAATTTCNTTATATAAAGTTTATACATATATTTACTTTGGATTTTATCATTCTGGTAAAGAGAGCACGGTGTAAGATATACGTGAAGTTATCTGTAGTAATTATAGTAATCACTACTAAGTAATGCCATATGGTCGATTTTATTAAACCATAGAAATATCTATATTTTTGGAGGTCGACTTTTGGATAAAAAATAGATTGTAAACTTACCGCAAGTAGCATCATAAATGTCAACTATTTATTGTCTATTTATAAGATTATTTGCGGCTGGTTTATGACTAATAAAGTGACTTTACTGTAAATAGCAGTAATTATTTGGATCAGCGCCATCTAGCGGTCTTGATTTTTTGGCCAAAAGTGGCCTCTAAAATTCTCAATCAGTGCAATCAGGATTAGAGCCATTTAGTCAATTATAAACCAGCCGCAACTAATGATAAAGCTATAGAATAAAAAAATAACGATACGTGTGTTTTTGGCGGCAAGTTATCAATTTATCTTATGCTTGAAAATTCATCTTCAAAAGTCTAAATTCATAGGAGGTCTATTTTTGGTAGAAAATAGATTGATAACTTGCCGCCAAAAACACACGTATCGTTATTTTTTTATTCTATAGCTTTATCATTAGTTGCGGCTGGTTTATAATTGACTAAATGGCTCTAATCCTGATTGCTCTAAATGAGAATTTTAGAGGCCACTTTTGGCCAAAAAATCAAGACCGCTAGATGGCGCTGATCTAAATAATTATTGCTGTTTACAGTAAAGTCACTTTAATAGTTATAAACCAGCCGTAAATAATCTCATTAATAGACAATAAATAGTTGACATTTTTTATGCTACTTGCGGCAAGTTTACAATTAATTTTTTACCTTAAAATCGACCTCCAAAACCATAAATATTCTACTTATCTTATATGGCCTATAAAATCGACAATATTTACAAAATTACAATACTCTAGACCTTTTACCATTAACTCATGTAAGCACAAATTAATCAGTCGAAAAGAGACAACTGAAGAAAAAAGGCCTGAAAAAGAAGCACAGTCACACAAAGAGTCTCCTAGGAATGGAGCATCGGATCTCACTAAATAAAAAATACATTTAAGTATCACAGAGAAGTAAGTTTTAAGTAATATAAATAAACAAAGAACCCAACCTTCTCTGATTAAAGTAGATCCAATGCTTCATTCTTAGGAGACTCTTGGTGTGACTGTGTTTTTCTTTCAGGCCTTTTTTCTTTAGTTGTTTCTTTTAGACTGAATAATTCACGTATATATTGGATCGTGATTCAAGATTTTTGGAACAAAAATTTTGCTATGTACATATTATATAAGTTAACTGTTTATTGGAAATCTAAAGTTGAAGGGCTGTTCTTCCATGACTTAATAGAAAGTTAACATGGCCTGTGCTATTTGCGACATGTTTACAATTTATCTTTTACCCAAAAATCCACCTCCTACGTATTTATACTTTTGGAGGTCGATTTTTTATAACACTTAAAACTTACTTCTCTGTAATAAATGTATTTTTTATTTAGTGAGATCCGATGCTCCATTCTTATGAGACTTTTCGTGTGACTGTGCATCTTTTTAAGACCTTTTTTCTTTAGTTGTCTTTTTTCGACTGATTCATTTGTGCTTACATGAGTTAATGGTAAAAGGTCTAGAGTATTGTAATTTTGTAAATATTGTCGATTTTATAGGCCATATAAGATAAGTAGAATATTTATGGTTTTGGAGGTTGATTTTAAGGTAAAAGATAAATTGTAAGCTTGCCGCAAGTAGCATAAAAAATGTTAACTATATATCGTCTATTTATAAGATTATTTGCGGCTGGTTTATAACTAATAAAGTGACTTTACTGTAAATAGCAATAATTATTTGAATCAGCGCCATCTAGCGGTCTTGATTTTTTGGCCAAAAGTGGCCTCTAAAATTCTCAATCAGAGCAATCAGGATTAGAGCCATTTAGTCAGTTATAAACCAGCCGCAACTCATGATGAAGCTACAAAATAAAAAATTAACGATACGTGTGTTTTTGGCGGCAAGTTAACAATCTATCTTATGCTCGAAAATTTATCTTCAAAAGTATAAATACATAGGAGGTCAATTTTTTGGTAAAAAATAGATTGTTAACTTGCCGCCAAAAACACACGTATCGTTATTTTTTTATTTTATAGCTTCATCATGAGTTGCGGCTGGTTTATAATTGACTAAATGGCTCTACGCGCTAAAGCTCTAGTTCAAAAGTTTAGGGCCACTTTTTAGTTCAGAAATTCGCAACGCTAGATGGCGCTGATCCAAATGATTAATACTACTTATAGTAGAGCCATTTAATCAACTATAAACTAGCCGCAACTAATTTTATAGACAGATAATAAAAAGTTGACGTAATTTGTGCTGTTTGCGGCAAGTTTACAATCTATTTTTTACTCGAGAACAAACTTCCAAAACCAAATGGCATTTCTTAGTAGTGATTACTATAATTACTAAGGTAACTGACGGTGACAGTGTTGTGTTGCTTGATGTGATGTTAACGCAGCAAAGACATTTTCCCAAGCGATGATTCGACGTTCGCCGGATAAGATAAGTAAGATCGAATATCGGAACTATTGGAAGGGGAATCTGGAGAGAAAGACACATATAGATTGTCTAAATGACTTGTACAGTCAGTAGTAAGTATAGTAGAGAAAAAAATATTAAAATGAAAAATGTATCGAGAGACCGATTATCACATTGAGAATACTATTAATGTATTTGTTATCACGAAACAAATGGTACTTACTCAGTGAAACCATACGGATATCAGACACTTTAGAGTGCAACAAAGGAAGAAAAAGTGGATGACAGTTGTAAAAATTACAGTGCGTTATGCAGTGCAGTTACTGCAGTCGATTTAGAAAAAATGCTCGAAATCAATGGTGAACAATATTCAATATGGGTACGTACAACTTACCTTTGGTTACATGCATTAGTAAGGTATTTATACTAATTTTTCTTTGTGTCAAAACTCAGCTTTGTTTCAAGATTTTGGAGCATTACATCTTTACCTATATTATAACTCGTTAGGTCAATAATAAAGAATAGCTTTTTTAATTTCATTTAATTGTAAAAGTTAATTTGTATTCAAAATATCATTAGGTTGGATTAGTTTATGTTTTCAACCTCATTGTTGGAACTGGCGCACTTGCACTTCCAGCGGTGTTTGGTCGAGCGGGATGGCTACTGGGTTTTGTAGTTGTCTTGATTTTAGCATTTATAAGGTAAATAATTTATTTCAATCTTTGCCTATGTTATTCAATTCACTTACCTATATATAAGTAATCAATTTTGTTTTATAGTTTTATCACTGTGACTTTTGTGATCGAAAGTATAGCTTCAGCAAACGCCATTAAGACATGGAAAAATATTCAGATGTATCAAAGAGTAGGTGACATACAAGATCTCTCCCACACTGCACCAGAGTCCGAGGTTATTAAAACTTGAAACAAAATACAAGCTTTTTGTTTAGTTGGCTTATATGCTTTTTTTTTTTTTTTTTTTTTTTTTTTTTTTTTTTTTTTTTTTGTATTTTTATTAGTACTATTAAAAATTTTGCGCATTTTTACTGGTGCAGGCATGTATTTTCTTTAAAGTTGCACATTTTTTAATTACTTTGAGCCTAAACTTCAATCAATTTTCAGCAATATTAATGCATTTGATAAAATTGATATATTGCATGTTTTGAAAATATTTTCGGAAAACTACATCATATGTAATTAAGCTTGTTGAGGAGAAAAAAGAAATACTATACTAGTTTTAAATCTAATATATATTTTCCAAGATATCCTTAAAAAGAAAAAAACAATAAATTGGATAAAAAATGGTAATAATACCTTTATGTTTGCTGTATCGAGCTTAATCTCAGATTAGACAGTTTTCCGACAATATTTTTAGAAGACGCTACATACTTTATTAATTATACACAGGCGATGCAGGCGTTGGAAGATTCGAGACCGTCAACTTCGGAAGATTCAGAAGATACGCCACTAGTACCAATAGAACGTTCTGAACGTCCGAATCACTTTTATATCATTCGTGAGAAAATAGAAATGGGCGAGATGGCCTCCTTATTTTTTTCAAAATTAGGTGTTAGCTTATTTTACGTTTGCTTAGCTGTTTACTTATATGGGGATCTCAGTATTTATGGTACTGCCATTGCTAAATCGGTGACCGACATCGCTTGCACGTACATTCCTCAGAATTTTACGTGCAATGAAACAATACCGGACCAAGAGCTCTGTTGGGAATCACTAACAGTTAATCGACTAGATGCATATAGGATATTTTTAGTAAGTTTTTTTTAAATTCCTAATAAAATTTAAGTATAGTAAATAATCAAAATTATTCGGGATAATTGTACAATTACAGACAGTATTTATCATGATGCTTGGTCCATTTGCATTTTTTAATGTACAAAAGACTAAGTACTTGCAAGTATTAACATCGCTAATGCGTTGGATGGCATTTTCAATAATGATTATTTACGCAATCAGCAAAATCCTGGCCGAGGGTCCACAAGGAACTCCTGTTAAAGCCGATACTGCTGGGCTGCCTGGACTTTTTGGAGTATGTGTATATTCGTTTATGTGCCACCATTCTCTTCCAGCTCTTATAGCCCCGATTTCCGACAAATCTAAACTCAATAGATCTATCAGTTACGATTTCATTTTGATTTCATTTTTCTACATACTACTGGCACTCACGGGCGTATTTGCTTTTGAACAGTTGGATGACCTCTACACCTTAGACTTTGGCCCTAAGGGCTGCCGAACCGATGATAACATTGTTTTAATTGTAATCCAGTACTTTTTGGCTCTCTTTCCTGTGTTCACGCTAAGCACCAGTTTTCCCATAATTGCCATAACCCTGCGAAATAATTTACAATCGCTATTTTTAAATGACAGCCAAAGCTCGTACTGTATATGTCTGCGCAAAGCAATTTTTCCCCTTTTAGCGGTTCTACCCCCTTACTTGATTGCCATGAGTACGAAAAATCTGACGGTGCTTGTAAGTATAACCGGCTCATTTGCGGGGGCAGGTATACAATATGTGATACCCACGTTATTAGTTTATAATGCAAGAAAAAGTACAGCCGAAATTATAGGCCAAGGGGCAAAGAATGAATTAGCAAGTCCATTCAAAAGCACAGCTTGGCTGGTATTTATTATTCTTTGGGCATTTGTTTGCATGATTTTTGTATCTACAAACATCATTGAAAAACAACAAAGTATAAGAGGTGGAGAGGTACATGAATATTGGTAAAGTCATCACTGAAATCCATATATAACTTTTCAAATTTTTTAGGAATTACAAATTTAACATGATTATGATCGAATGTATAATTCCCCGCTTGCGATAAAGACTTGCGAAACAAAATTGTTATCCCTGATATCTCACAGGTAAAGGATATAATACGTTTGCTGTGATACAAAGGGAGTACAGGGAGAATGAGACTAAAAACAATAATAAGACTAGTTCCTTTGAAAGTAAGAAAGGGTACAAATAAGATTTATAGTACATCTATAGCAACAAGGTCACGTGCCAACTGTTACCAAACGCATAAAAATAACGATACTGATGTTTGATTTATGTCATACAATACATAGATTTGACAATGTGAAGAGTAAAACAATTGACAATAACGTGCATTAATATGCGGTTCCTAGAGCTGTAGCTACCTACCCTAAATGGACATTCTCTGATCGGCCGAAACCTCTCGCGGGGAAATGGCAATAGTTTATTTTGTGAATAACGAGTGGTGCGTCATGGGCTCGGGATCTGTGGAAGAAAAGAGATGATCAATAAATAATAATAATGATGACGCAACCAATCTCTGATTCGAACTCGCGCTTTGAAAAATGGTCCTTGTCCTTGTAGTCGAGACACTCCACCCAACGGCTATTTCTTCGTAGTAATATGATCCGGAAGCGATGATTTTTGCCTCGTCGTTCACGTCTTACACGCTACACGTTATCTTTTGGACAAATGGTGCCAAGTGCAACTTTATCTTCATGTAATTTATAGGAAAATAAATTCTTCTGCTCGAATGCAACATTATAGCCGATGGACATTTTTTTTTTTTTTTTTTTTGGGACTTTAAATAGTCGTAACTTTGGGTACACTCAGTTCGCATCTACTCGAGGGTTGCTCTCTGATACTCAAAAATGTTTTAATCGATTTTTCAATCTTAACTTCAAGCCCAACTTTAAATGTGAAAAGCAAATAAGATAATATCGTTGTTGTTATCTAAAAAAAATCGTGTGTTATTATGTTAGTTGTTAATATATATATATATATATATATATGAAAAAACAGTTACAACAATAAATAGATATATATTTTCTAACAACGAAACAAGAACGGAAAAGTAGGGGTGTATGATAAACAGGAGAGTATTATGTAAAATAAAGAACTAATTTTGACTGAATTACTCGTGTATATTTCCTTTCATACTCCATTTTCATAGTTGATAAGGTACATGGAATAAAAAGCATTCACGGCTTTCAACACCAATAGAATTTCCTCCAAATGTTTCAACAAGTCAAGGTAGCAGTAGAGAAATCGAATAGTAAAATTTCAAATGAATTCTTTCTGTACGGCTTCATATTTTTTATAAGTTTTCGTGAACTAGACCCTCAAATCTCATGATATAACTTATGTAGTTAAAAACTCATTGGTTCGTATTAGTATCGTATCGTACAATGTACTAAATTAATTTTCATAGTGTTTTCAAGCAGAAAAGATACGATATTAATTGTACAATATTATTTTTTCTTCATAAATTTTAAAACCCAACTGTACGTAGGTATGATTCTTTAATTCTTAATACAAATAGTCAAGAAGAAAATTTTAACAAATTTTTTTATGGTTTGTTATAATCTAATATGAAACTTTGGTGATTATTTACAATTATATGTACGCAAATGTTTTTTTCTTTTCTTCTTTTTATTTTTTTTTGTAATTCCCAAACAATAATGAGAACAGAACAAACATACAGGTGTAGGTGATTTAAAAGCACATCAATATTTATAAACTGTTTTGTGTATCGGTGGCTGCGTAGCAAAAATATTTTATTAGTTGTACGGATTTTAATGTGATATTAATAAGGCAATTTGGTCACTCAGAATCAACTACGCAAAGTAAAATCACGAAAAATCATTAAACTCGTAGCCGACGCTAAAAGTGACGATAGTGCCTTTTAGTCAATTGACAATGACATTGAGCTAAAATTTTTTTTTTTTTTTAATTAAATTATAACATTGATTATGCATCGATGTTACATCACCCTGGATTTGATCAACATTTTCTTCTTAACGACAGTACACTTTTGTAATAATTGTTGGCACTTTGTGTCGTATACCACATACACTATGGCT